CTCATATCAATATGAAATGTAGGTTTCCATAAAAAAAAAAAGTTGGACTTTAAACTTCTATTGATGAGCAAATAACTTCGGTATCACTTCAAGTCCTCAAGTATCTCCAATAGCAACGGTGTGAAGTAAGTTATGATGCAATCAGCGCCAGCACGCCTAAATCCTTTCATTGTTTCCATTAGCACAGACTTAAGTTCGAAAGCACCATTTTGTGCTGCATGGTAAAGCATCGCATATTCACCCGACACCTGATATACAAACAGTGGATAGTGCGGATAAGTGTCTTTTGTTGCTCTCAGTATATCCAAATAAGGCATACCAGGTTTAACCATTAGCATATCAGCACCTTCTTGTACATCACGTTGCACTGCACGCATTGCCAAGCCCTTAGAACCACTCGGCAGCTGATAACAACGCCTATCACCAAAAGCTGGTTTGGACTGCGCTGCATCACGAAATGGACCATAAAAATTTGACGCAAACTTCGCTGCATACGAGAGTAAAGATACACGATTTTCTAAATTTGCAGCAACCAGAGCCTGTTTAATGGCACCAATACGATTGTCCATCATATCAGATGGTGCCACAATTTGTGCACCTACACGTCCATAATTCACAGCCACCTCAGCCAAGCGTGCAATACTCCGTTTGTTATCAATGCCGCCCTCACCAAATATACCGCAATGTCCATCTTTCTTATACGGACACAAACACACATCACAGGCTATAAGCAGATCTGGAAACCATTGACGGAGTTGCGGCACAGCACGCATTACAGGATTTTTTTCTGAATCCGCATGTGTGGCCACATCATCTTTCATACTTGAATCCACAATACCGAATAGTAAAACCGAGCCTAAACCTTTTGCCACTAAAGGTGTAAGGTGTGCACGTAACTTATTCAGACCCATACGCATTATGCCAGGCATGCTGCCCACAGGCTCCACTGCATCATCTTGGTTGATAAGAAATAAAGGATACATAAGATTATGTGGCGTTATTTCACAGCCGCACTCTTGCAGCGACCGCAGCGTTGCATGATGTATACCACTGTGTAGCTTGTTTGCCATGTTTGTTGTTGCTTTTTACTTATGAAAAACTAGTCACGACACTTTCTAATTTGTAGCCTTTTTCTTTTAGGTTTTTTATTGATCAAGTAATGACTTTTTATTTCGCAAGTGCGTACGCAATTACCACAAAAACCAACTGGAATCGACACCACCGTACAAATGCCAAGCATTGTTAAGTAACAACTCCCTTGGAGGCACAATCGAATGAGCAGAAATGCGGGGCACACGAGCTAAAAACAAGCAATATGCACGTAAATAGAGTTGCCAACATTCACTTATTGTATAAAATCATAAATTGTGTTGTAGTCATGACACAAATAGTTAAGACACCTGTTGCAGGTTGCGTATATGAGTTTAATATCACGTATGTGTCACGTACTTATGCAATATTTTTATTGAATATTAATAACTGAACTAATATTAACTAATATTAATAATTGAATATTAATAATAGTAGCATTATTTTAAAAGATATTTTTATAAAGTGGTTTTCCGAACAGTAGTGAATTATAACAACAAAAATACATTTTATATTATTTTAATTAATTTAATTTTTGGCTGACCATACAGCTGTTTCAAGTACTGTCAAATACACATCATCAGGGATCTTGGAAATAATTCTTGTATTTAATTATTCGTAAATAATTTTTTTAAATTGCAAGTACCAGGAATCGAACTGGTGTTCTGCCAAATTTGAAGCTCAGAGTCAGCGTACCTTAAACAATTGACCCAAAGCCATACTTAACTTTTTATGTTCGCACATTTTTCTGGAGTTCTGTTTCTTTGCTGTGAAAGTTTTATTAACAAATTCACTTGTTATGTTTATATTAGAACGAAATCATAAACCAGCTGTAGAATAATTGAATTAATTAATAATATTTTTACTTTTAATTGTTAAATTTTAATTTCAATATTTTTAAATTTATAAACATAAAATTGAATTCAAGAAATTCAAAGTCACAGAAAGATATATACATTAATTGTTTACAGTAATTGTTTACAGTTAATTAACTTATTGACTTATTTACCTTAAACTTATAATCATGAAATTGAAATCAAAAAAATAGAAAATCGGGTAAGGATAAATATATTAATTGTATTTCTCAGTTAAAAAAATGTAAGCAATTAATTAACTAGCAATTAATTGCTAGCAATTAATGTTAACAATTAACGTAATCGTGCAAGTTTAAACATGTTAATTGTATTGTTTACAATTAATACATTGTAATAGTTTTATTAATTAATATATAATATAATTTACACTGTTGTATTGTTAACATATTAAAAATTATTAACAATTAATTAACTTATATTGGTAACATTTTTGACAATCATTATTATATTTATTTATAAAAATTTTAAAAATTGTTCACAATTCATTAACTTATTAATTTGAAACTTATGATATCACATGAAATTGAAATAAAAAATACTAAATCAGGCAAAATTTAGTATTATGATTAGTTCAATATTAATTGAAAATTATTGTTAACAATTAATTCTCGACAATTATCATTAAAAACATAATATGTATGTTAATCAAATTGTAATTTCATAAATTTTTGGTCCGTAAAACTCACTAAACGAAATCATATATAAACCTGATCAATCAACTCTTAGCTATATCAGTTTAAAATCTTTGAAGGCACTTAATGACAGTACATATTGCTCTTAATGTTTGTGTCTTTCGAATTTGAAGTGTTAACTCATTTTAATATAAAAAAGTTAAGTCATTCAAACTGTGAACTCCAAAGAATTTTAACTGAGTTTTTAAAAAAACCAGAAACAAACAATAGAAGTGCTTCAAAGTTCCCTTAATGCCTGCTGTTTTGTATGTGAGGAATGCAAATAATTCTTCACTGTAGATTATAACAAAAAAATTAATTATGTTATAATCATTGGATTGATAAAAATCATGCTTCTGTTAGAGTTGTTAGCTATAGAGTAGAGTAAAGTGCGTAAGCGCGGAGGCTTCTTAATTTGAAAGACTTTTATATCAATTGACTACATAAGCTTTGAAAGTGTTTTCCTTACAGCTTAGAATCTAAAAAGTTCATATTTGAAGACAGCTTCATATTCAAATAAAACAATTTAAAATTTTTAAATATTTAATTCATAAAGTAAGAGCTACATTTAGCTTTACGAACTACGAAGTGAATTTACAATTTTACTATTATTTTTGAAATTCTAAATCATAAAAATTAAAAAACAGTATATTTATTTTTTGAAAAATTTCTAAAACCACTATATATGTATGTGTCTTATATGTCTTATGTTGGCAACTCTAAACACTCTCTTTGCAATTGTTTAAATTTGCAAATATAAGAGGAAATATTTGATTATATGTGCAGATAATAACTGATAAGGCTCCTAATATAAATAAATGATAATCAAAGTGCAATTCAGATTATTTCAGCAATTATAAAATTTTATACAGCGTTTGAATTGCATTGCTTGCATAACGCATTGCATAAGAAAATGTAAAAAGAATATGCTTTGGCAACAACAAAAAAACGCAAACTGGTTTCATTTTGATTGCTTGCTAATAGTCGATTTTACATTTTTGACTATTAAGCGTTTGGAATATATGCAACGTTCTCGCTTATGCAACTAACGCTTCTGTTTTGCTATAAGCGAATAGCGTATTCTTTTTACATTTTCTTATGCAATGCATTAGCAATTAGTCGTTTGACAAAAATTGATTGGTCAATATTTATGCATTAGTCAAATTTGGTTGCTTTTGCTAATTCTCAGCAAGCAATTCAAACCCTAATTTTATAGTCATTCTATGATGTAATTACCGGCTTTCACTTCAACAATTTTGCTGCAGTCTTTTGCTCTATTGTGAATGAAATTCGTTTAAAACAGTGGTGGCGAATATAATGAATTAATTCATGTTTATAATTGAAACTTGTTGTTTCATTAATTTAAGCTTCTAATACGGCGTTTAGAAGCTTAAAGCAAAAATCGAGATTAAAATACTAACTTCGTTGTTAATCTCAGATTTTCCATACAAAAATTAATCTCCTTTTCGTCGAGGCTAGTTTTAAATCTCCTTCAAAATGATGATTTTTTCTCAATGCAACTCTGCAATGTTGTAGATTTTTTTACGATCTTAGAAGAAATGTCTTATTGTCGTAGATTTTTTACGATCTTAAAGTGATATGACAAAATCTATTCAAAACAAATTTTGAAAATTTCGGAGTGTAATTTCTACTAAATTTGTTTACTAATAGTTTTATACTTAATTATAACTAAAATTTGTTAAATTATTGTTATAAAACCATTTATTTTTTATACAAAATTTTAATTAAATGCTTTATTTACAGAAATTTATTAAACGCACGAACCAAAACACAATAAGAAGAACGTCAAAATTAATCTCCAATATTTAATGTAAACGGTGAAGATTAAAAATGCAGTTTAACTTAATCTCGTTCTCTTAATCTCACAATGTAAACGTAGTATTAGTCTATGTATTTAGAGGCATTGAATTAAAACAAATAATTATTTAATATATGCGTACGACTATGTTTATTAATTTTATTTTGAAACTAAACTAATAGTTTTAAAAACTTTAAGTACAATTTTTTTGTTCCACAAACACAATTACATTCCTCTTCTATACTAGTTCTATAATAAAATTTATTCTTAACTATTATCGCTTTTTTCGACGTAAATGCTAATTGCATTGAAATAAATAAAGAAAACATTATTTAATAATAACTACAAATAAACATAATTACAGTAAAAATATTAAATAATTAAACTAATTACGTTTACGCTTCTGATTTTATAAAATATGGCTTCGTAAATTCTTGTACAATTTGTGTGTTTTCGTTCCTTGTAGTGTGTAATATTTTAACTTAAATAATTTATGTCTTAGTATTTATTTAACCAAATATTATATAAAAACAATTTAGATATATAAACTTTTTTTTAAACTAAAAGACTCTTAAAATGTATTTTCCATGCGGTCAATCTTAAATTATAAAAAGTTTCTGGGTAGTCGTTTACCGCTAACTTAAAGTAATAATAACATTGGTTCTAAATATTTGGTTTGGATTTGGTCTAACAGCCGTTCGTGTATGTGGAAAAATACAAAGTGGATTAGAAGACAAAGACGTTAGTGCGGAGTGCGATGAAAGAAATTTCCACTAAGACACCATAGCATGGTAGAGGAAGCGACTATGTGTGGGTAGGGGACTTCCAACATTTGTTGTCAATCCACAACTACTGTTTGCATTGCACTGTGTAGCGGAAGAAATAAATTTACTGTTCGCATCCGACAATTGAAAACATGTGCCAATTGTATTAATTTCATGTTTAGTCAATTGCAGGGAATCGCTTTTGATAGTGTAAATTAGTCGTCGCTGCTTAAGAGAGTCTACATTTATTTGACAAACTTTAGTTGGTCAAGCCAAAGAGACCTGATAGAAGAGCCATTCTTCCATAAATGATGGCACGAAAGCCTTTGAAGTTGTGAATTTTACTTTCGGCTTAAGCAAACGTAATTGATCTTCGAACAACTCTAAAGATTCCATGCAACTGGTGCCATTGCCATGCGTCAGATATTTACCATCTGGTTTTAGGATTTTGAATGAATGCTCCAAGATGGTGCGTATGAAATCCCAGCACTCACCAATTGGTGCTCCGGATATTGGTATGTCAGTAAGATCACCAAAAACATAATCAAATTTGCGTCCTTCCGCAATAAATTTCTTCATATATTCCACGCAATCACCCACAACTATTTCATAAGCATCGCTTTTACGTTTCTCCAGCACATCCCCACAAATACTATTCAGGTATTTGTTACATGCTTGCATGACGAGTTCATCAATTTCTAGCATAACCACGAATTTCGGTTTCTCCTTCAACAGTTCATAGAGAAGAGCACCGTCACCGCCTCCCAAAATACAAATTTCTTTGTCTTTGTAGTCTTCAATACCGCGTCCCATTAGAGTTTCCGTGTAAATGAGATCAGATTCTGCAATATCTGCAATTGAAAAAACTTGTCAGTTACAGTTACTACAAAGTCTTATTATTGTAAAATTATTTCAATGTCTTTTCAAAAATATATATTAAAAAATGTGAAAATGTAATACTGATTGGATAAGTTTAATCAAAATTTCAGGGCTCCAAAATATTATTGTTAGAGGCTTGTGTAAACGCCGAAGTGCCGCTTATCTCTCCCAGAAAAAATCAATGCAATATAGAATTTCTGTAGAAGAACATTGTCCTTAGGACTTCCTTAAAAAGGCCATACCTTGGCAATAAAAATGTAAAAAGCAAAGAGAATAGGAGTTCTTTTTTAGATAATTTGATATTCAATGTGTACTATAGCAAGTAGTCTTCTTGTAGTCATTATAAGTCTAGAAAAGAATTTTACGTCTTACACACCAAAATTTTTTCTAAAGGAAGAGACTTCTATAATCAAAAGAGAGTGATGTGTAAGCTATGTTTAATTAGTTTTATACTTGGTATATATATATGAGTGTAGAATTTTTAATAAATAGCAAAAAAGACACAGCTAATTACCAGCAAAGAAACAAATGGCATATGCCTTTTTCAGAACATATAATATACTATATAATAATAGCTGGTTTCTTTCTTTTTAAGACTTTAAGTAAGAGCACAAAATAAGTTGAAATATAATTTCGAAGATAATAAATTCATATATATCACAAGATTTTAATCATGATGTTAAACATATATACTTAAGGTCGAAAGAGAGGTTCGAGAGGTACTTGATTTCAGATGAATATAAGTGATCTTAAGATATAAGCTTAGCAGGAAGATTACACTCTTTTTCAAATTTTCTTTATAAGAAATATAATTTTATTTAAATAGATGAAGCTAATGTTATAGTATAGAATCTGGATGGATGGTTTCAGTAAAGTAAACTTTTCAGAAATGAACAGAAAGCATTCTGCTAGTGAAACGAAGATCTAAATATCTTCTCATGATCTTCTCAATGCACACACGTGAGTTCAATTGATTCTTACTCCTAAATAATCTCCTCCACTCTCACAATATCATCACCTACCCATTTGAACTCATGTATACAAACATTATAATTCCTTTCATCGAATTCTCAGCGAATTACCACAATAAATGCCTTCTGAAAAAGAGTTCTTAACATCCGATGTAGTAAAAGGTACCCTTCACAAAGCAATCTTTAACCTAATACAAAAAGAGTTCTTGATCTCTAATATGGTAAAAGGTTCCCATTTTACAAAGCAATCTACAGCTTAATACAAAGTAGGTCAATGTAGTAAAAAATATTACCCAGTTTCAATCTGTGTCATTCGGTATTTACATATTGTTGAGATATTAGCACAGGCCAAATTGTTCAGTTATGCGACTAATTAACAACTACAGATATATTCAAAACAAATTACTTCTGAACCAGTATAATTTCAGAATCCACAACAGTAAAAAAGCTTATTAAACAACAAATTAAAGATATTTAATTGATAATTATTTTAAAATTTTTTGATAAAGCGCTTTTATTTGACACTTTCGCATTTCGATTAATATTGAATCTAATCAATGTAATTTTTCTACCGGTACACCTGGTACTTTTCTTGACCAAGAACCAACTTCAGAATTTATACAATCTACTAAAGTTACTTGCTGGTTATCAAAACGAGTTACTTCGGGACTTAGACCCGACCGGTCTTGGAACCAACATCATCCACTTTTATTCCTAAACAAATCATTCCTCATTCATACATCTAACCATATTCTAACCCATGTAAATATATTCGTAATTTCCTTATGTTATCTGTTTCATAAATCTTCGCAGGCTACAACAATAACAACCAAAACTACCATTTTTGTTGCAAACTATTTGTGAGATTACTTTTGGGAGTAATGAACGGCACTTTGTCTTCGTGGTTGACGAGTAGATTCAGGATTTAGACCCGGAGATTTTTGGAACTACCAAAACTTTTTGACTTCGACTTTGGTGATGTACATAGTGAAATGAGAGTAACAAGTATACGAGAATCTTTTACAATATATTAAAATATTTAAATACAAATTAAAGACTTTTAAGGATGGTTGGTGATGTTAAAAACTTGTTATAATTATATTAAATTTCTTAAAATAAAAAATATTATTTACATTTACTGTGTTATTCACACTTACTTTGCAATTCATCTAAGACTAACATATTTCCAAGTGTCTTCGAGTGCAGTATTTGTATCTTCTGAAATGGTGAACGTGCCTCATAAACTAAAGAATCGATGTCGTACTCAATGATGCGCTCATCTATAAAAGCATTTATTATTAAAATTACGATAAAACTTTTTAAACACAAATTATCCTTAATAACAATACATTTAGATCTTTGGGATATTAAAAGTATATAATAGACATCGAGAATTTTACACAATAGAATATACTTAAGGCATACATACACAAATGTACATAATTTATATAACTTAAAGAATATTTTTTCTGATAAAAAAACTTAAATATTTTAAACAATATTTAAAGAAATTAAAATTTATTATTTCCCAAGGCAAAGTGCGTGGGTTTCGTAACGTAAATCTGTCAACATTCAGCAAAATTAAAAAACAGCTTCAAGGACATGACGTATGACCATGGAACAATCGAAATAGATGTGGGCTAGGGTTGCAGTTTGTAAGATGGGTTTGCTGCTTTGAGTGTTGAAAGTAGGTTAGTAGGATATAATTGTTCTTGTAGCACAGTATAAGAACAATACAAGGTGAGGTCATAAAGGAAAAATATATGAAATTAAACGTTTTGTTTTGTTAAAATGCTTTGCGGGAAACTTTTAGTACATTTTTTTTTCTTTTTAATATTTTTTAATTTAATACCCCAAATTTGTTAATATATAAATGAAATGATAGAGTACGCGTAAAGTATTTTTGGAGGTTAATTCCTCACAATGAACTTAAATCACCAATATGGGGAATTTATTGGATTTATTACTTAAGTATTACTAATAGACGAGTTTTTAGTTTTTGTTGAAATATATGTATGTTATATTTTTAATAGATTTTTATTAATAAGTAACCAATATATCGTAAATAAGTTTTAATTAAAAATCGAAATTCAGCAACAGCGTGTGCTTTCAAAGGGAAAGCAGTGATATGAAATGTTGTAATGTAATGTTATGTTTTGAGAAATATATAAAGCATATATTTTTAAAGATTTCTTTCAATATGTAGGACTGTACATTATGAAATAAATTATTTTAATTTTAGTTAAAAATCGAAATTCAGCAACAGTGCTTTTAAAGGAAAAACAATGATGGGAGATATAGTGTAATGTAAAGAAAATTCAAAGTATACTTTTAGGCAAAATATGTATTATAATAAATATTTAAATATTGTTTAATTATTAAAAAATTTTATCAACAAAACATACAAAATTTCATACAAAATTCTCTTGAAATAACAAACAATTAACTATTCACTATTTTAAAAAATATTTAATTAATTTAATGTGATGAATTTTATTTATTTCAACAAAAGCAATAATAACATCATACTCTGATATCAGAAAACAAAGAGGCTCTTTAATTTTTTATTGCAAAAAATAATAAGTTCGAATATTAAAGAAATTTTAATAAATTTAAGCGATTATGGATGTAGTATTATTAGAATATTGTTATGTTATATCTTTTATCTACATTTAGATAATGTAGATAGAATTATCTACATATCTGTGGCTATACGTTCAAATTTTCAGCAATTTCGAAAAATTAGTACTGAAAGCAAAATATATGCTTTCTACACTATAATAGCACAAAATTAATGTACTATTATAGTCCCTAGGTTAGAAAATCTCTTATTGAACACTCAAAGCAAATGTGTATATATTTTCAATATAATAAATGCTTAAATATTGGTTTGAGCATTTCATATATCACAGTGTAATCATTCATATTTTTATATCCTGCTAATTTGGTATATCACATTTACTGGTATGTAGTGAAATAAACTCTATATAAATTACAGTACATAGATATTTTTAAACACCTTGATGACACGAATAAATTGGTAGCAATGACTATATATCTATCACTTGCAATGGAAACTAGAATGTAAGATTTTGAAATAGACGAGTAACATTTAGCACATATAATTTTTATAAAAGGTCTTTAAAAATTTGTAGAAATAACAAAAATTGGATGACAGTATACTATAGTTGCCTATCATAATTTTTGTCTTTTATTAATATATTTATTAAATAGATATTTGTAATTAAAACTTTTATGCTCTGTAACAAGAAATTTATTTGGAATAGTAAAGCGGGTAACAATTTATGAAAAGACCTTTTGGGCAGACCATACAGCTACTCCAGATACTTCTGTTTTAGCATTTAAAGAGAATTTGACATGTGATTTAAGTGGATTTATATAGATCGGTTTAAATTTTGATAAAGACGTCATACAAGTTGATGAATCAAATAGTTAAATTTTTTACTAACATATAACAAATCAGTCAATAAGTCGAGTGACTAAGTAAGAAAAACAATTTTTTTCTACCAAAAATCGATTTTACTCATCAATATAATCTCCTTCAAGGGCAATACAATCATTTCAATGTTTTTCTAACTTCTCGATGGCGTGCTTGTAGAAGGATTTGTGTTTTGCCTCAAAATAGGCTTCAGTTTCAGCAATTACTTCTTCATTTGAGATGAATTTCTTACCGGCAAGCATTTTTTAGAGATCAGCGAATAGCCAGTAGTCGCTGGGGGGCAAATCGGGACTATACGGTGGATGAGGAAGCAATTCGAAGTGTAATTCGTGCAATTTGCCATCGTTTTTATTGACTAGTGACGTGGTGCATTGTCTTGGTGAAACAAAATTTTTTCTTTGCCATATGCGGTCTTTTTTCCATAATTTCTGCTTTCAAACAATCCAGTAATGCCGTGTAGTAGTTACTATTGATCGTTTTTCCCTTCTCAAGATATTCAATGAAGATTATACCATGTACCAAAATACCATCCCAAATACCATCCCAAAATTCTGAAACCATAACCTTCCCAGCTGACTGTTGTGTCTTTGGACGCTTCGGACGTGGTTCACCGGCTGCAATCCACTCAGATGATGATTGTTTTAGTTTCGGAATAAAGTGATGGATCCATGTTTCATCCATTGTCACATATCGACGCAAAAAAATGATTTATTACGTGTAAACAAACACTGCTCTGAATCATCAACACGTTGTTGTTTTTGACCGACTGTGAGTAAACGCGGCACCCACTTTAAAAATAGCTTTCTCATGGTCAAATGTTGACTTAAATGGGTTTCACTTTTTTTCTGACTTTGAAGTGTCATGAAATTTTACACATAGTCTTTTGAGGGTTGCTACTTCATAAGAGTCATATGGATTTGACAATGGCAATGCCATCTGTGTGTCAGTTACACGACTTATTGAGCGATTTCTAATATCATTAAGAATTAAGAATAATTATTTGAAAATAATTTAGTATGAATTATCATGTAAAATACGAAAGAGGCAATAAAACTCTGTAAATTCTATACTAATTTGTATTGACGTAACATCTACCTTGAATAAAAGCAATATATCTTTAATTATAGAAATATTTTAATAATAAATATATATTTCGTAACATATAATATTGTCTTCAATTTATATATAGTATTGTAATGTTTTAATGTATATTTATTTAAATTTTAATTTAGTGCAAAATAATTTTTCGAACTCGAAGAAATTAATACATTCGAACTCATTATTTTTGCTTTAACTAAAGTTAAAACATATATAAAAATTAAGCATAATAAGTGCATTTTTATAATTTAATTTAAAAAAGCTTAATTCAAAATATGCATTGCAATAATAAATAATAATTATAAAAATAATAAATTGTAGAAAAATAAAAGTAATTAAAAGGCTTGTTTACCTGATGATGGAAAATACCTAGCGACATCGCCACGTTTCAATGCGGGTAATACTTGTCCAGATAATACTTTCAATTTCTTGGCTATGGTATTTTCAAGACGTTTGGATGACTATATTAAATTTTGATTTGATTTGATTCGAATTTGAGATAAAGTCGCAGTGATTGTGGTAGTGGAGTTGTGGTTTTTTTTGGTGGTGTTGATGATGATATTGAAAGAGAGACAGAGAGATATGAATAAAAATTATATATATATTATTTAAATTAAAAATAATTTTTTACAATTAAAAACAAAAAATGTTACGTATAGTATTTTATGTAATGATTATTTTTTTATTTTTGCTTAAATATATTTCTTCAAAAAAATGTTTACAAAACGATAATAGGCTTAAATATCATAAATATTTACATAGAATATATGTTTTTGTTCTTTTAATTACATATAGCAAAGCAGTATAAATAATAATACATAAAATAATTTAGAAAAAAATATATGGCAAACATTTCCTTGACATACTGTATTTTCATGTACAGATTTTGTAGTAATAGTACTATATCTTTCAGATGAAAAGAAAATAGCAAATTATAAAAAAACACAACTGATTTCAATATATGCTAGAATTTTAAATATATATCAATCAGTTCCGAAATATAAACCGAAATATATATTTGATTTTTTATACTTCTTTTTTGGATTAAAATTTAGATAAAACGATCAAAGCAAAATCTTCAGTTCAATATGAAAAGAATAATTTGTTATTTTCCGGTATATTATTATATTTGCTATTAGGATCCGAAAAGGTTCCCAAGTAAGGAGAGACAATACATTTTAATATGCATATTGCTATTATAAATATTGAGGCTAAGAATTGGAATTAACTATAGGATTGGGATTATAAAAGATTGATGAGACAAGTGATCAGGCATAATACCCTTCTATATACATATAGCACAATTTTCTTATATTCTGCCTTTGAGATTATGAATTTGATTCGGGTTCTAATTACTATTAGGATTTACCGAGGTTGAAAGTATACTTGTATACTTTCAGAGAACTAAAGATATGGGTATGTCAAAGTTGATCCATTTTGTTGTACCGAATTTACAATACTGCTTTAATAACAAAATCTCTAAAAGATTCCAAAAGTCTCATGGTACAATGGGGTCAAGGGGAGTACAATATTTTGAAGGAAAAATTTTTACAATTCCACACAATGGATAACCCTATATTTACAATTTTTTGGATAAGATTTATTATCCTAATTTGATGCGTGAAGCAAGGATGGAAAATAAATTTATTCATTCATGCATAGAAGCTTTTTTGCTCTTTTGGTGCTTGGGCATTTATGTGATTATAATTAGGATTTTATGGTAATGAAAAGAGACGTCAGAATAAATAATATACCTATATTAATGACATACATATATATAAAGAGTGTTTTACGCTTTTTTAATAATTTATTATTTCTGAGTTTTAGATCATGATTATGATTAGCGTTACGGATTAGGATAAGGATAAGAAGAATCGTTATTAGAAATAGTACTAAGATTGGAATTATGATTAATGTTAGCATAAGAATGATTAGAACAAGAATACAGATAATAAGATGAATCAAGATTTTAAATAGTACAAGGATTGGAATTATGATTAATGTTAGCATAAGAATTTATAAGAATTAGCATAAGGATTCAGAAAATAAGAAGACTGATGATTAGAAATAGTACTAGGATTGGAATTATGACCAATGTTAGCATAAGAATTTATAAGGATAAAAATACAGATATTATGAAGAATCGTGATTGGAAATAGTACAAGGATTGGAATTATGATTAATGTAAGCATAAGAATTTATAAGGATTTGAATAAAAATACAGAAAATAAGAAGAATCGTGAGTAGAAATAGTACAAGAATTGGAATTATGATTAATGTTAGCATAAGAATTTATAAGGATTAGCCTAAGGATACAGAAAATAAGAAGAATCATGAGTAGAAATAGTACTAGAATTGGAATTATGAATAATGTTAGCATAATAATTTATAAGGACTAGAATAAGAATACAGATAATAAGATTAATCGTGATTAGAAATAGTACTAGGATTGGAATTATAATTGATGTTAGCTTGGATTTGGGAATTGAAACGAATAGAATGGATAATTTGTTATAAAAAACGAAAATTATATGGAGATTTTATAAACAAAAACACAGCAAGTTAAGGAAAAGTTGCATATATAATCAAATTTTTCTGAAAATTTGTATGATATAATTTTGTTGAATTCGGTTTGATTTGCCTTGTATTGCTTTATATCTAATATGATAATTAAATAAAAAGTATTGAGCCTTTAAAAATTTATTAATTTTCATAAAAACTGAATTGTTCATGAGCACTATTTGGATCGATATTTAATATTTGAATGAATAGATTTAAAATATAAATAACAAGATAAACATATTAAGGATGCATACTAAGCAAAATTCCAAGATGAAATGAAATCGCACAATCGAATTTATATTCACACGATCTTTGCAGTATATATATTAAAGCAAAGAAGTCAAGTATCCAATATTAAAAAATAATGAATTTTTTAGAACAATCTTACATGCAAGTATGAAAATTGGTTGCTCAAAAATCTTACAAAGGCATGAAATGGAGAGGCAACTATTGGATTCATATTTGGAACTTGCATACAAATTAGTGTAAATAAGCTTATAAATGATATTGATAGATCGGTTTTTGGCGGCATTGTCGTACATTAGTGTAAAATGGAGTTTAATAGTTTCAAAGAAATCTATAATTAATATAAAAAACAATGTAAGAACTAGCCAAAATCATACAATCGAATTGAATTAAAAAAGAAAACAAATTAAAATATTTTTAAAAACATTAAATTACAAAACGTTTTAGCAGCAAATTCCTCAAAATCGTAAAGGAAGTTTGATTTACAATCTAAAAAAATGTGAATACTGAGGATTTAACTTAATTTAATTAATTAATTTATAAATACAATAAAAACTCCATTTTATTTAATTCTTAGGCTGACCTGAGCTAGTCATGTATATGTCAATATATCCACCACGTTTAATCGGCGGTAAATACTTTGAACGGTCTGACTCTAATTTCTGACGCAAAATAAGTTCCATTGTGCGCATGGTCTGCAATTGTAATATTTATAGAGTACAATAACAATAACAATAACAATAAGAACAGTAACAGCAAGAATAATAAATATATTTTAAATTAATTTTAATTAATAGAAATCAACGAAAAAATTATAAATAAATATAATTGAAGCAAATGAGAAAAAAATCAAAAAATCAAAAAATCGACTGTGACGACTGACAACTGACGACGATGCAACTGTGAAGGAATTTGTATTGAGAAATTTTTGACATGAATCTGCACTTTTTCGAAATATCTAGGAAGACCCATGTACGGCGGCGATTTGTGCTAACCTAGTATTTTCCGTATTTAGCACTGATTTATTTGGTTATTTCTGAGTCAGACAAACACTGACTGCACTTTTGCTTTAATTTTGTTCAAATGGTTTTGAGGAATTTTTAGTCAGCCAAATTGTGTTCATTCTTGCAACAATTCAAATGAGAAAAAAAATAAAAAAAAATAAAAACTGCGAAAATAGGAAAAAATTTTTAATTTAAATTTAGAAATAAAATTTCAACAAAGTTGCAAAACAAATAAAATAATAAAATTACATTTCACTTATACGAAAAAGGGAAAGTAAAACACACTTACAAAGAGGAAATATATTAAAAGATACTAATATAAAGTGCCGGGCAAGTTAATAATTTATTATTGCAACAGTTTAAAATAGACTCAGATACAGATTCAATAAATTTGCTTAATATCAAGCACTTAGCCAGTGTCTGAAGTCCCTCAGCATAAATGAAACGATGAGCCATGTACACATAAACACAAGAGAGAAGATATAGGACGAAAGACCTAGTAGTTCAGCTCCTTATTCGTAATAATAACTTTAAAATTAATTTTAGTGTTAATTCACAAATAAATAATAAGAGAAAAGATTTCAATTAAATAATAAAAATTATTTAATTTATATTATTTAATTATTTATAATTAAATAATAAAATTTAATCAATTACTCTATTACTCTATCTATTACTCTATTTAAAAGATTCCTATTCTTGAGACGCTCTGATTCTACAACGAAAATAAATAAAGTCACCTACTTTGAGCAACTTCTTCCACTACTTTATATGCCGATATTACTTAGTCCCTTAGATATCAAGAGTAAAGCCATCTGGCACGTCTACTTATACCAGTAAAAATTGCATATACCAGTTAAAAGATGTAGTTTTTCTTAGTATAATTAATGTTTCCTGATACAACAACCTGAAACATTCATATCTCAAGAACTAAGCTATAACCGTATATAACGTAATGAGAAACCTTGCTCAGAATAAGTGACATTACCAAAAACTGTTTTCAAATCGTGGCACCCCTTATACTTTAACTAATTAAATCTTTAAAGTATTTGCATATAGCTTATGCAAATGTATGTATAAATATAGTCCATCGATTTATTCAGTTTCAAAGGACAAAGATCTGCCTTCTCCCTCTGACTGAGTGCCGCTTTAGCTAAACTTGACGATCTATGGCTAGTGTTTGCAACAGTAGTAACATCAATGTGAATGTCGGTGGTTATGAAGCGACTACAATTAAACACTGAGAACTTTGATTAGTAAAAATAAAAGGAGGTATATTAAAAATATATCCCAGAAAAAATTGATTTATTTGGAGTAAAACAAGTGGTTGGTATTGGGTTAATAGTGCAGACAGTTTCAAAGTACCTCAAGTACAGATTCAATATAAATAATATAATTAATATCTGAGAATTCGTCCAGGACATACAAGTTGAACGCATATACACCTGATGTAAAGACAGGAGCCGACAAGATTTGGTTGCAATAATAGACATTCAACTTTTTTCATGTTCTGTCAAAAGGTCCTTAGTATGCAAGTCAGAGATATAGAATATTTGATGTTACTATCCCCTTAAATAAGTTAATATATGCCTTTTAGGATTCGATTGAACCTATTTTTACCCGGATATTATATTTATATATATAATTTCCGTTAGTTTTTAGCTTAGGGCTATCGTAGTTTATTGCATTCAGTATGATAGTATAATTAATATAATTTAGTTCATTGCATTTAGATTTGTATATGTATAAATAAATTGAGACTATCTGCAGCATTGTCTGACATGTTCTCAAAAACCAGAGAGAGAATAGATCAAAAAGATTCTACACTATCACATAAAGTAGGCGCTACTATGTCTGATAGATAATTTTTAATTATTTTGAACATGGATATGGAGTGACCTACATGCTCTCTTGAAACAAACTTTTTCGAGTTGTCAATGTAAGACATTTTAATGACTCAGATCGATTTATACAACTTCCAGTGTTTATATTCGCAAAAAAATTCTTCTTAGTAAATGGATAAAGATACCACAGGCTTCAATTTGTATATGAGGTGACTTAAATCTGTTTGTCTATATCTCTATCTATTAATATGTTAATTAATCTCTTAATTAATCGATTGAAATTTTATGGTACATGAATTATAGATAGATCCAAATAAAATGTATTTGGATATAGATAAAAAAATCGTATAGGTAAATAGTAACTATCTGTTATGTTAATAGTCCAACTTCTGTGTGAAGGGTATCAGAGCTTCAACAAAGCCAAGTTTTATTTATTTAATGTGTTTTGCAATATTTGATTTTTAATGGGAGCGCTTTTAATCATTATAAACAAAGTTCTCTTAATATATATCTTCGTTTAATAACTTGGGCTCAAATTCAATTTTCTATATGTACACAGACTTAAATTAAAAATATTAATAAAAATATCTCAGACAAATTGTAAAAACTTGACTTAATTTGAAAAAATATTCCTAAGCATTTTCTTGAAAATTAAATTTTTGCTTTACGAGCTCAGAAAGCTTATGACATCTTATATTTATTATTGTAAGTTATTGTTTTTAGATAAATTTTTAAATAAACAAAAGTTTGTTGATAAAATAAAAAAATTAATTATAAGCTTTTAACAAAAACATGCAGTTTATCGTTTCTTTGAAAAAAATATTGAAATATTTTGTACTTTCTAGAAATGAATCGAGACAGCAAATTATTATATTTGGCACCAGTCCATATCATATATAAGTATTTCTATACATAAGTACATATATCTATATGTATATATATCATATTTAAGAAAATGAAAGGAATCAGAAATATTATAAATAATGTTATTTAAAGTTCTGTAATATTATTTTTTTTATTCTTTATTTGCCGGTAGTGAAAGTACGAATCAAAAGTTTGACTAGGTGGTAGTTGGTCACAAAGGAATTAACCTTTGCAATCCTATTAAACACATAACATACCCCTTCATAGCTTTATCTTTTTGTGACAAGATCATCATTTCTTTACAACTTTATGATACTCGTATATGATCCACTTTTCATCATCTTCTACGATATATCATATATGTAACGATTTCACAATGTGTGCAAATACAGAGCTTCATAAACAGATTTTGCGAATACTATAGACGCGAATACTATATATTTTAAATACTATTCATGGCTCGTCTTCAGTTTTTTAATAAATCAGTAACTACTCACTTATTAGTATTTTTTCAATCTTATAGAAATCGTTATTTCGATGATATGTTAATCAGAGAAAAAAGAATGTTCATGGCTCCCGCATTTATTAAATGCTTCAATGGAAGCATTTATATTTATTTTTTTAAAATATATATATTTTTAATATTAGATAAAATTTTTCTGAGAGTTAAAAACGATTAAAAAAAATCATAAACTTTTTTATTCTTATTAACTTATGTTATGTTGTTATGTATGCGCTATGGGTATAGCTAGGATCAGGCGAGTAATACATTCGAATAACATATCTTTAAAAAACAAAGGTTGTTCAAATCTAGTATTAATTGGAGTGCAACGACAACCAGTTTATAGAAATGATCCAAACTACTTTATGATTGTGTGTTGTCATATGGGAAATGCTGCCTTATCCACCATTCGGAAATAACAAACTTACCGGAATAATATTTTAAGACGTGTGATAGAAGTACATTGGTATGTCAGAAGTAAATAAATAAAGACATAACAATTGAAGGGGTTAAAAAATGCATCAAAGACAGATCTCTTAAATTATTTAATACTGTGGGTTCTCATAATCGCTCCGTATTACACACTCTGCTTCAACCAATCTTTAAAAACATAAAACTTATCAGAATATTATTTTAAAATGTATGTTAAACTTTGGTGTGTCAGAAGTGAATAAAAAAAACCTCAAGAATTGAATAGGTTTAAAATCTGTAAAAGACAAAGCCTTTAAGTGGTTTAATTCTGTGGGTTCCAATAATAACGTCCCATTATAGTGTAATCTATGTTCCGCCAGAAAGCTATGTTAGACTTCAAAATATACTTTTATAATTTTACCTGTATGATACGATAACATCTAATTAGTCATTGTAGTGATTAACTCACAGTCATTCTTGCCTAAAAGTGCTCCAGACACTGACTTGCTTTTTATCAAATACCATAAACCAAATAAAGCATTCAACAAAAATCAATCAATTTGTCATTTGTTATTCAAAAAAGATTTAACAAAAGTAACTAACTACTTTATCTTAATTTTAAGCGGTCATGAAGACGCCGAATACTTTTTGCCCAACTAATATGATAATTAATAATTTAATAATTTGAGGCCCTATGCTCCACTGGGAGATAAGGATAAAAGAGAGAATAATTGATATATTGCAGTGCATTGCATCGTCTGTTTTTAATGATAATAAGAAAAATGAGTAATAAATAGATGTGTAATTTTATTTTATAATATTTGCTTAACAAACTTCTGTATATAAACTGTTAATTATTTTTATATAAGTATGAACACTTTTAATTTATTAAAGCCGTGTGCGAGTGTAAATTGATGATAAATTAAGGGAAATAGTAAGTTACGTCGGTATGGCAGCGAATGTTGGTATTTACCAGAATTTCGAATAGAGTAAATTAGATAAAAATTAAGTGTTACCATTGTAAACATTTTATACGATCTTTAAAAAATAAATAAATAAATTTAAAAACTTTTAACCAAAAATAATAAATAACAGCAATAAATAAATAAATAATATTTACATAAATGATAAAAATTTTAAGGAAATTTTAGTTTACTTTACCGCAATTTACTCGTACTCGCACACGACCTAATTATACTTTTCCTTTATAACTTTAACTTCAATATATTTGCACATTTGCTAAGTTTTTTGACCGATAAATTGTCAAATTTTTAATTTTGTTCTATCTATTTTTGAAAGTCTATTTGACACATAAAATTTAATAGAAAAAAAAAACAAAGTGCAAATTTAACAAAAAAAAAAAAAAAACGCCGCTAAAAGTTTTCTTATCTTCGTTCATACAAAAAACAATAATAACAACAACACCAACAACAGCAACAACATAAATATTTAAGAGCAAACACCGGCAAACTTACACACACACATACACACATACGCTTTGACGTTGTTTTTGTTGTCTTTTCTATCTACAAATTCTACACGTGATTTCTTTTTGTTTTGATTCTTTTTTGGACACGACGTAAAGATAAAAAAAGGAAAAAAATTATTAAGTTTTGGCACATATTTTATAAAAATCCAGGGGTTAAGCAGACAAATGTGCGAGAAGTAATATGGGAGTCGGTAACGTTGGCTGAAGTCATACGCTAATCTTAATCTTATCGTTCATAGATAACTTTCACATAACAATTTTTTTTATTTTTTATTGTTAAACTTAAAAATAAAAGAAATTTTTAAATAACAAGAAACTATATATTGATTGGGTTTTGTAAAAGCAAATTAGAAAAAGTTTGTTGTCCTTCAACAAACTTGCTAATATGAATGGGTAACGGCTCGAACACTTAAGACATTATTTACTTAATAATATTAAGAGCTCAGAGTACTGACTACAGAATCTAAAATTATAAAATATTATAATTAAATTATGTATGTAATATTGAAACAAGTCATCATTTTTGAATACATTATTATAACATGTAATAACGCTTCATCGCTATATATGTGACATTAGTATGTTTAATAAAAAACCGAACATTATGAATTTAAATCATTGTATCTATTGTTGGACATTCATCATTGTTAACAAACTACAATTCAGTGTTAATAACCATCCTAATGTCATCTATAAAGCGATTAAGTATTATTATATATAATAATAATGCATTTACTCAAGTCTTAGTAGAATTAAATGAAATCCAAAGCTCGAGCAAAGTTTATTGTATTTCAATATACAAACGTTCATCAATAATTTTTGTCTTCGACATTATACAGTATTAATCTCTCCTCCTATCATATTATTCATATTAATCATAATAAATATTCTTAAAATAATATTAAATATTATTAAAATAATTAAAATAAATAAAAAATTAAAATAATATTGTGTTGTTAAAATGGTTTTGAACATTGTTAAAATAGTATTGAATATTATTAAAATAATATCAAATATTTCTGTTTTTTGAAAAGACTTATGTGAATAAAATTAACAAAATTGTATATTAGTTTTTGTTTTTATTTTTATACAGTCCTCTACATAAATTCTCTATTTTATTAAAAAAACAGAACTCACACAACTACTATAAATATAAAATATTGTTAAAATAATATTAAATATTGTAGAAATAATATCACCAGTTAAATATTATTTAATGAAACTCTAAGTTATAGTAGTAGCAATAAGTAATAAATATTTCAATACAATTCTGTTGTAAGTTTGTAAATATTAAAAGGATAGACAATAGATTGCCAAAACAGGAATTTATTTTGAACGTCTTGGCAAATCATAGCACAATGTATTAAAGTTTGACTTTATTATTAATAAGCCAAGTTTTACTAAAAATAAGATCTTTTTTATATGTTAGTTCAGAAACTTTAACACTCAACCCAACTTATAAAAATATTGGTACACATATATAAAAAAATTCAAATGGAGATGTATCTATAACAAGCAATTTGATTCACTGTGTAAAATTTCGTATGGTGTTTAAAATCACATTATATATAATATATATTTTCATTCAGTTTAAACTTAAGCGTTCATACACTTATTACTTAATTATGTGATTCATAATATGTGATTCATATATGATTCATTTTATAATTTTTCAAAAATTCTAATTGAATAGCAAGTGAAAAGTAAAGTTAATAAAAAAAAATCAGCAGTTAAAAAATTTTCTCTTATCTTAAAAAAGTAGCTGAAGTTATGCTTTAGCTTTTGATTTATCTATAAAGCATCATTTAGTTTGTTACATAATTTGTGCTTCAATGACTTTGAAAATTATAGCGTTTCAAAATTAATTAATTTTTGAAATTGTCCCTCAAAAATTAGTTTGAATGAACCAAATGAAATTCAGAAATTATTATTATTTATTATTTTAAAATTAATTTTTTAGAAAAAAAATTAGATAAAAATGAGTAGATCGATAAACGATTGAATGGACTTCTCAGACAATTTTATTCGTTACTTCACCAAGAAATATTTTATTTAAATCGATAAACACACTAATAATAATATATATAAATATGTATATACATTATTGTTTATTATTGGTTAAAACTCATTTTTTGATTGTTATATCTGGATACAATCTAGATTTACTTTTGATCTGTCAAATTTTGTTGTCCAATAAATATGAATATATAATATTGTTTATTATTTATTACTCATTTTTCGATTATTATATCTGGATTCAATCTAGATTTATTCTCGTTTTGTCAAATTTTGTTGCCCAATCGAGTATTCTTAGAGAGAGAAAAAACAATATGTCAGTTCAAATTCCAGCATGAGAGCCGGTGTAATTGTGCCTCGGCACTAAGGCAAAGCAGTTTAGTAATAAATTTCAGAATTTGCGCAAATTACTACAATTTTAATACGTTTTAGAGAAAAAATGGCAGTAAGCATAAGTAAGTATGATTTTGTAAGTACTGTTAACAATTATTATAAGGTAATATAATAATAAATTAATATTATTAGAGCCTCTATGAATTTCTTCTTGCTAGTTATTTATGGTGGCAAATTGATACTGAGCATATATACATTGCCTTTTAAATTGAGGCACAACCAAAAAGTATCAAAACATTGTAAAAATACGAAATAGGCAATACTGATGTGACAATCCACATAATATGCATTTTAGTCATAGCTCAAAAGAGCCAATTTTGCCGTGCCCGAGACACTCTACATAACATGGCCCTTAGTGTAATTTTTGTAAGTGGTATATATATTTTTCACAAATACATATATCGAATTAAATCATAATTTATCTGTCAGATCATATAAAACAGCTGTTAGTTTTAGGGTAATTTTGCTACGCTGGGAAAATATCTAGAGTGTTGTCAGTTAATCTCGAGTGTTATATATTTTGCCTCAGATTTACCAATCTCAAATGAAAATAATTTTTCTCCAGATTTATTAATCGAAAACGTCATTAGTCAAGAACGCATAAGACTTTCTGGAAAATGTAGCTCACAGCCTGACAACGATATGCGCTAAGCAATGAAATGTTGTGTGTTCTTTTCCGGCCTACCGCTTGCTTTCGCTGGTGATGTTAGGTAATGGAATATTTTTCTTCTATTCAAAAATTATAAAAAATTATGAAATCGATTTCGCAATTGAATGCATATTATCGCGAAATCTTATAACATCTGTTCTCCACTAAAATCGTAAATTGATACCCCATTCCGAGTGCATATTGAATTATTCATGTTCTTTGTATAGATTTTAATGGCTGTGAAGTATTTTTTTTAATTGTAAAACATATATAAATAAGTGTTTAATGTTCCTATTAAAAAAATAATAAAATAAAATACGCCAGTGCAGTGCTTCGTTAGGCACTTGCAGTTATAAAATATGAGTTTTTGTTGTTGTCAAAACATGTGTAACTAAATTTTTTAGTAAAAAAAAACATGTTTAAAAAAAGACAAATAAAATTAAATAACATTTTTTTGCAAAATCACAAATCGAGCATAAAAATGTTTTTATAAAAATTTAACACTTTCAGAACACAGAACATATGCAAAACACCCTTATCTACCAGAAGCCGACCGAGTGACTCTGCATCCACTTAGCCTAGCCCCCATTAAATAATAAATCAAACGCACACACACACTCACACACAATCACACAACCAGCGAGAGTTTCGTACATAAAATAATGTATATCATATGGCGGCAGCACTGTTGGAGCACCAGACACCTTGACACTTGAAGAAGGAAAAATCAATTTTTTACCATTGGCAATGAAATAAGAAATGATAAATAAAAAAATATTCACATATATATGTATATATAAAAATATATAAAAAAAATAGGAAGCCAAACTTTTGCAATTATTTTAATTATTTTAAAAAGGATTTCTCGCTATCATGCATATTTTTTTTTTTGAGTTGAAATGTGATTTAATGTTTTTTCAATGACGTACAACGTAAATATTAAAATTATGTTTATAATATTATGATATAAAAAAATAATTTAAAAAAAATATATATTGAATTCAACTTAAAGTCAGCAACATAAACGTTATTCTCTTAATTCAAAGCATTCGATATCTGTTTTTTTTTTTCGAATACTTACATCGAAGGACATTATTGGTTCCTTGCCTTCCTCCAAGTAATATTCAACATTGATAGTAACTAAGCCCTGATTAAATATACGGCACGTGATAATAGTTTCCTTATTTTCGGCCAGTACACAGTAGTAACCATCATCCATTGTCATTTGGTAAGCGAGCTCCAGTTGGGGGAAAATGTGCTCCAATTCACTGCGTAACAATTTTGCTATTTCCTGTCGTGATTTTGGATCGGACGTTTTTTCCGTGTCCACAGTAAAATCAAATAAAATTGTTTGAGCTGCCATTATGTATATGTATATATAGATTTATTATAACACTTTACGTTTCAAATTAACACAATACTAAGAAATTTGCACTTAAAAATAATTTGCAACTTTACAGTTTAAAACTTTTCCGGTTGCCGACACAAACTATAATCTCTGAGAGGCGCAAAATACTACTGAACTTTTTAGCTGCTTAAAAAGTTTGTTTGCTCTGAAATGGTGCAGTGTTGGAAAGTGCGCAGATAATTGTACTGAGCTTTGCTAAAAAAAAATTGTTTTAAATCGTTTTTTAAACATGTTTGTGTGTATTATTTTGTAGAAGTCCATTTATGTGGGTTTTATGACAAAAGAAAAAATTTAAAAATATCGGTATTGTGTTAAATGTTTTAAAAAATTTTTAGTTATGAGAGCATCCTAAAATCACTTAAAATAAAAATATGTAATAAGGCTGTTAAAGGTTGATTTGTGCAGTAGCAGCATCTTTGCTAACACTTAGGAAGTATTTGCTGCATTATAGAAATAAGTTGTAATTTAACGTCAAATTTTTCAGACGGACGTGACTATTATATTTAATAGAAACTTAGTATATTTCATAAAGAGGTTTTTTCGAACAGTACTGAACTACAACAACAAAAATTCATTTCTATATTATTTTAATTAATTGAATTTTTGGCTGATCATACAGCTGTTTCGAGTATTGCCAAATACCCATCATCAGTAGTCTTATAGAAATAAGAACTTTTATTATTATTATAGAAATAAAGTAAATGGGTAGACCCATTTGAAAGTGGATTTTTTAGTTTAAGTTAATTTGAACAAAAATTTTTATAACGTTACATGCCTCAAAAGCTTAATTCTTGAAGTGTCCAGTTAATTTATTAACAATTTTCAAGAAATATATTCAAAAATTAAAATGAATTGAAAAAATTTCAGGCTAAACAAACTAAATATCTACTTCTCAGGGTTTGTAAGTGTTTATGCTAGTTTTAACCCCTTTGAGTTCAAGTATGAGAATACAATAAATTAATAAATATTACTAGCTACCTCGTATCACCATAACTTATAACTTAATAATTGAATAATTAGATCAAATATTGAAAATATTATTATGACTAAGTTAATTTATTTTTGTACAACCTTCCAAAAATACAGTAGTTATGCTGGAATAACTCTATAATTAATAAATAAAATTATAGTTTTTAATAATTTCATTACAACGGTTCATCTAAATGATTTTTATATGTAGGAACATAGTTTGTTAGAAATACAAGACAACATAAATTTGCTTTTTTTTTTTGTAGTATGCATATACTATATTTCTTGTTTTGTTTTTTTTTTAAAGAACTTAAATGTATAAAGTTATTAGACATTACAATGGAAGAACATATTATATTATTGTATTATAAATATTTTAATGATTAAAAATAAGTAGTAGTTAACTACAACAATGAAGGTATAATGTTTAGGTATAAATAAAATTAAACTGTTGTCATTCGATTTACAAGATAAGGCATTCCTTGTAAAATTCAGTAGTTGAAATATTTAGTACCAAAATAGTAAAATAGCGATTTAAATATTTTGTAAGAAGCAAACTAACTATTTTAGCCCTAATTTTTTTTCAGAGTTGTAAAAAACAGCTTTAAGTCTGGTTGAAACAAATTTGCATCACTTTTAAAATATTTCAAATGCTTGTTTTTTACATTTTTTTGTTGTATTGTACACAATATGAAATTAAAAATTGTACACTAAAAATTCATTAATTAAAATAAATGGTAATAATATCAATAGGGCAATGGAAAGCATTTTTATCCTGTATATTTAAATTAATTTATTTATTTATATATTTGAACTTATTAGCAATCAAATACTCTTATTATTTTACGGGTGATTGAAATTTTTCGTTTAAAATTTAATGAAAAAAAAAATAAAAATTTTTTGCGAGTAAAATCTAATTCTAAAGATTTTAAGAGTGTTTTTGTTCCTTCAAATATTTTGTTTCGTAAGTTGTAGGTATTTTTTGCTTATTTAAAAGAAAAAATTACGGGCTTTGTAAATAGAGAAGTAGCTATATGTAAATACCGATGTAATGTTAAATTTCTTTCAGCTGTATTACATTCACACTTACGAGGATTAATAAATACAATGTATTAATTTGAAAAAAAATGATTTATTTTTTTAATCACAAAGTTCAAGAGTTTAACAAAGAATTCTACGTTTTCTACATGCTGCAGAAAATACGTTTTACAGCACTAGTATATATCACATATGTTTTTGACGTTTCTGCCTGATAATTTATTTGTTGTGAATATAGAATTAGCAACAAAACAGTAAAAGAGAAAAATGTGCCATAGCAAATGTGAAAAAAATGTTAATTTTCTCCCAGACAAATGCCTGCAACAGAAAAGAAAACAATAAGATTTCTTTATTGTCGTTTTGGCTTTCGTTTCGCATTGTTGTGGTTAAAGTGTAGCTGCCAATCAAAAGGGCAAAACGTGCCAAACTGGGAACAGCAAAAAATTACATAAACAAAATTGCAACCAAAATAAACAAATTCCCAACAACCCGGAAAGAATATAGATAACAAAGTGAACATAAAGTTTTTTCTCTTGTTTATAAAAAAAAAAAGAAAATAACAAATACATTTGCGATGCACCTGAACTTGAAAATTTTGTAGCGTTGTGTGCAGTGCGATTCGAAGCAATTGTGCGAAATGCTGCAATGAAGGTTAAATTTATAAAAAAGCAAAATAAATATACGTATTATTGTCTTAATTGATAGAATAGCCACACGCAATAAATTAACGAATCTGTAAGTGATACATTAAAATTGCGCTACGTCAAAAAAAAGAATCATATAATTATAATAAAAAGAAATACTTCAACGCCCACATAAAATAGCAGCTAATGAGCTCTGCCACAACGTAAAGAAATTCTATGCAAGCATTTCAATCATAAAATCTGTGTTGGCTAACATTGAAATCGCAATCACAAAGTGCCTCGCGGCAGGAAAGTAATTATGCTGTGCTTGTGGTCGGCACTTACTGCCCGCGCACTTCTGTGATGCTAACTAAGCTTTTCCATGGCAACCACGTGCGTGTGCGGTGACTCAGTTTGGGGGTGTTTCGCGTGCTTTCGCCTACTTTACAATTTCTTCACATTTTTTACTCCTGCGAAGTAAGTCTATTGATTTTTGATGTGTTAAATAAATTTATTAATTTTTATATCATAATAAATATTATCATTTACAGAGATTTTTATGGCATTTGTTTAAACAAAATTAATTTGTTGGGATTTGTCGGAAGCTGTATAATTCTTCACTTTGGATACAGAAATCGCAAGGATGAAAGTTAGTGTAAAATGAAAAATGTTTTATTGTGATTAAATTATTTATGTAAATTGTATATATTTTATATATAATTAATTCGATTGTATACATTTTTTTTTAGTAATGATTATTCCGTTATCTATATATGAATACTTGGACTGAGGAGATTAGTCAGATTCGTTCAAAGTAGCTTGGAAGTTTTTTATAGATAAGGTAACATTCATAAGCTTCATATAGACTTTAAACTATCTTATATGTGACCCAATATTTCGTCCTGCACTCATAAAGGCAACCAGTAAAGTGAGAAATATGAATCATAAATTACTGATGTGAATGCAGACTAAGTTTAGCTTATAAAGCAGTTTTAATCGCTGGTTATTATAATCAGTATTATTTGAAACCATTAACACAAGGAAAGTGAACTGTAAAAAATAAAATGTTTCCTTATAAGTAATTAGACCTGATGGCTGTGTTCTAAGGCTGTGTTACTTACGACAATGCTGCTCAATTGAACATTGGAAAACTTCAAATTATTAAGAAAATTACATCAGTACATCAGTAAAAAATATATAAACAAAGACTTAAGAGTTGGGAGTGTGCGAAAGTTCATCAAAGGCAGAGCGTTCAGATTGTTTATTTCTGTGATTGCTCACATTAGTTAAGAGTTAAGAAGTTATATGGGTGACAAACTATACTTCTGTAAATTTCTTTGAATAATAACTAATAACTCGCGCTTCAACAAGTAAAAAAGAAGTATAATCATTATAAGAGAAAATATGCAGTATTTTTGTATACGAAGTTTACTTGCATCACGATATGAGGCTAAAAAATTATTTCAAGTATGGTTCGTAGAAGATTTCCAATGTCTAGATACTCGTATAAATATATATACTGTGTTAATATGTAGATTAGTTGTTGTTGTTGTAGCCCATATGGATCTGTCTGTCTTCCTGTTGGGAGTGCTGAATGAACTTTTCGAACCCGAAAAGTGACTTCGAGAGTTTAAAATAGGAAAGATTTCGGTGTACTTTTTTCCCCAACCTCCATACAACAACTTATTTTCCGACTTACCTTTAGCTCATTTCATCCTTACTATGGCATTCCGTGCATGTTTTCTGCTATATAGATTTCTACGAGGTACAAATATCTGGATAATAACATCTGGATAATTACAGTAATGATATTTAAAGTAGTCATAGATTCGCAGCGAAAAACTCTATAAAAAATATCTTCCTATAGCTCTATACTCCATATGGATAGTTATAATGATAATATTTGTGATAAAGTTATAAATTCATAGTGAAAAAAATTACTATCACATTATCAAATCTGAGAAGTTACATTGATTGCACTGATTCTGTTGTTGTTGTAGCCCTTAAGGATCTATAAAGTAGATAACATGAAAGGAATTAAAAAGACGTATACATGGGTGATAGGATTATTAGTAAGAGTGAGATTATTAAGACTAAAAGTAGATTGGATGGGTTGGATTTAAATTGAAGTTAAATAGAATCAAGGCCGAGAAACATGGCCACTTGTATGGGGCGGGCCAAAAATCGTTTCGACACACACAACTTTGTTAGTGCATTAGGGCAGGAAAACAGATGGCCGTTAACGATGATAACGAGTAATCATCGATTTCTGTCATCGATAGAGAGAATCGATATGCTATCACTTCAAATAAATCCAATATTTTTAAATGAGTAAGTGAGCTGAAATTTTATGTTAGATACTATTAGTTTAGGGCACTTATAGTCTATAGTCTAATTATTATTAATAATTATTAATTATTTTTTTAAGTTCAAGTAATCATTCTGTCATATCAGTATATTTAGACTAACAATATGTTTATAATACAATAAAATATACAATTTTTGTAAGTCATGATATTAATAGTTTCTTTTTTCAGGTCGCTAAATATTCTTCACTGGTTTTGATTGGATTGTATATAAACTAAAAGTGATAAATCTTAAGAAAATTTAAAAAAACAATTAAAAAGAGAACCTTGCGCAAGATATTTTTTATTTAACAATTGTCACGAGATTTACACTGGCATTGTTGTTAAAGGGAAAATGTGCATATCACATATAGATTACGTCAGTAATACATTCAAAACCTCATTAGAAACGGTACAAGAGTACAACGTCATTTACCCATAAAAGCTTAGTGAAAACACAAAAGAGTCGCTATCTTTGGCAGCAGAACTAACGACAAAGGCATGCAAGCAATTTGGCGGTATTTATTGCAATTGCCAGTTCATTTTTGTATCCCAAAAGCAAGAGTACCACACGTGGACCGCTGAAAACCTAAAGAACCACGATCGTCCACTTAGCACATAAAAAATCAAAGTAAATGAAGAGACGAAAAATTTGAAGGAAAAAGCTTTGTTGAGAAACAAAGTGTTTTGTTGATGTACAAACGACTGAAAAAGTATTTCGTAAATATGCAAATAACAAAACTTAAGCACAAATAATATATATACATATACAAATACGTGTTACTTGAATAACAGAAATAATTTAAAAGATGAAAATGAAAATATGAAGAAACTCAGCACGAATCTCAATACTTTGCTTCAGCACAAAGAATGATATATGAAAGACGATATATTTCTTAGCTTTCAGTGCTAAAAGGCAGCAATGCTATAATCAAGTCTTAAATTAATTTTTGTGTAAACAAAATAAGAAAAGGTAGTATGTTATGTACCAGACACAATATAAAAATTTACACTAGCAACTATAAACAAATTAAGTAAACATTTGATTAACTCGAATTACAAAGAAGAATAAACACATTCAAGAAACCAGAATAATCAATAAAGTAATTAGAGTATAGTATCAAGCATTTAGATTGAATCTATACATATCAGTAGCTCAGTAGCGTGTACATTAATAATGGAACGTGGCAGCAGTGAAGAACGTATAGCGAGTGCTAATTCCAGCCCTCGTTTATCGCATAAATCGACGACACTCTTTGGATTGCTTAGTAAACGTTCTACGAAAGTAGAGCCACATCCGCATGATAGCATACCGACTGCTCAACTGCAATCTAATCATTTGCGTCCAAATTCTGTGTGCAGCAATCATAGCTCGTCTCAAACGCAAGAAATCACATTCGCCAAATGTTCAACAAACAAATTAGAAATCTCACCGAATAATCTCAATGAAAATAAAAATCGAAATCTGCCAGTCGCACTCATCGAAAATAATCATGTCTCGCACAAAGTAAAAACTGGCAAGAGTAAGAATCAAATAGAAAGACAATGTACTGATGGATCACAGAGTGATGGTGGTGGTGAGGTGGTGCGTAGAAAACATATGAAAAATCGCTCTCCCATACATAATCGTTTCAGTCATCAGTTTAGTCTTTGCTGCAGGGCTGAGAAAAAACCGATGACACCACCTGTAACAGTGCGTTATAATTCCATACCAGATGCCGCAGTGAATGCAGTACGTCGTGATACACTATCACTCACTTGGAGTATGGCAGATAATGCTTCACTCTCTCTACACTCTTCTACAGAAAATTCTTCAGCACCTAATACGCATCATCAACATCAAGTAAATAATGAGTGTGTCAGTGCACCCGAATCACCAGTCACAAATAAGGTGATGTTTGCACAATTAAGCTCACAAAATTCATTCTCTAATCCTTCGGTTAAGAGTACACAAAGTGATGTGCCAACTAGTACAAATAATAATAATTGTGGTCCTATTAGACCCATTGCTGTATCAGCTTGTCGTTCACGCTTACGCTTGAAATTATATCCGCCTGGTATGGAAATATCAAACACTGAGATACAAAATAAAGAACATACATCTATGAAAAAAGCTACCACTCCACAGCATATGTCTTCACCAAATATTGCTACACAACCAGAAATAATTGAAAACTTCAATGAGATGGAACAACAATCTCTAAGATTTATGTCACAAGAGAATATACTAATAAAGCGTCAGTCTTCCAGCTCTGGTTTGGCAAAACAAGCTTTAATGGCTGCTCAAGTCTTAAGTCTTATTCCCACAGAAAAGGCACGCGAGAGGTAAGCATATAATAAAAATAAGTATTATTAATATTTATATAATATATTTTGAAAAAATTATTTAGTCTAATTCTCCGCCGTATTAAATAGGCCAACTTCTTTTTTCTGGACTCATTTAATCACCACAGGTGAGATAAAACTCGGTTATTCATTCAATCAGAAATGAGTTATTGTTGTTGTGGTTGTAACCCGTTGGAATCCAAAAGCAGATAATATAAAAGAAACTAAACTACAAATGAGTCAAGACTAAGGAACTTGGCTACTTCGATGGGGTGGGTCCAGAAGTCAATCGAATTAAGGTGTGTGTGTGTGCAGTGGGGCAAGAGAACAGATGGTCGATTCATGGGGGGTAGAGCACAAATTAGAAATAAGTGTGTTTATATGTGACAAGTAACTGTTTGACCTTATCCTTATTTGATTAGTTTTAGTGATTAGTTCACGTTTATATTTGAGGTTCCTGATGTTAGCTCCATTGTAAAAGATGTCGATATATCTATGATTCTATGACTCTACTAAATATGTCGTCATTAGTGTGTCTATCTGTGGTATGAGTTGTTGTCAGTAATGTGGCTTGCAGGGATCTGCTTCTGTAGTACCTTTTGAGTGTAGCGAACGGCAGATAGTTGTCGAAGTAGACAAGTCGCTCTGGAGACCGTACTTGGAACCATCATGCAACAAAAATAAATAGTGTTTAGCAATTGATACTATCTAGACAATAAATGAGTAGTTTTTGTCAGTAGGGATCAACAAATTTTTCCTTAAGGAACCAAATAAATAATTCTTTAAATGAAATCATAAATATCTACGTAAGATCTAATGGGATTAGATATATATATTGTAAAAGTTTTAAAACATTTTTTTTAAATTGTAGGAGCTTCTTTGATGGCCATTTGGGCTCTTCATCTCTTCTGGGACCAAGTGAATTGAGTCGTGTATTACCTAACAAAGAAGTAACTATATTTGTTGGCACTTGGAATATGAATGGACAAAGTCCACCCAAGTAAGTATTTTTACACCACAACTCAATTGTAATTTAACTAAAACACTCTCTTCTGCATACTCTTCAGACAAATGAACGATTTTGTGTTACCTCTCACTGTGGAGCATATGCCCGATATTGTAGCTATTGGCACACAAGAATCTTTTTCGGATCGCTTTGAATGGGAAGTTACATTGCAAGAAACATTAGGACCTTCACATGTGCTTTTTCACTCCACAACTCTCGGCACACTGCATTTGGCTATATATATGCGTCGTGATTTGATATGGTATTGTTCTGCACCAGAAGATGCTAGCATGTCAGTGCGTACGGGTTCAGCATTTCGCACTAAAGGTGCTGTTGCTATATCTTTCTGCTTATTTGGCACCTCAATGCTGTTCGTCACATCCCATTTAACTGCTCATCAACAGAAAGTGAAGGAACGCGTATCAGATGTGAAGCGTATTATACACGCATTGGATTTGCCTAGAAATTTGAATTTACGACATAAAAACAAAGACGTTACACAAAATTTTGATAATGTCTTCTGGTGTGGTGATTTAAATTTTCGTCTAGGTGAACCACGTGAAAAGCTATTGGAATGGATACAGAATACAAAATTTCCGTTACCTTCACATTTGCCACATGGTTGTATGCACACAGATCAATTAACATCAGTATTATCTGACGGTGCAGCGTTTCGAGGTTTTCTCGAGGCTAATATAACATTTCCTCCAACTTATAAAGTGAGTTTGATATTTCGTAAATAGTTTTTCAATTTATAAAAATGAATTCTTTGCTTTTTGCAGTATGATCCTGGTACGCAACACTTTGATACATCGTCCAAACAACGTGCGCCCGCATATACGGATCGAATACTCTACAAATATCGTCAAACACAAGGTTTAGTTTTGCGTCGACAGAGTGTATTGCCAGGTTTCTCAACACCACCATTACCCTATGTACAATGTTTATTATACGATTCGGTGCCATCGATTACCACTTCGGATCACAAACCAGTTGTGGCACTTTTTAGAACATTGATACGTGCTGGCTCAGATACGTAAGTATAGTTTACTTGAAGCTTCAGCTGTATACTTATATATATATGTATATTTTATTTTGTTAGCATTCCATTGGCTGCTGGACTTTTTAATCGTGATATTTATTTGGAGGGCATGAAGCGACGTCTGCATAATCAGTATTCTGGTGCATCAGCAGTTTGTGTGCTGCAATAGAAATAGTTTAGCGGAAAAAGATTAATGCGAGATAAAGCGCATAAATATAAATATTAGGTGTCTTTTTAAGTTAAAGTCAATGCTTTAGAATAAGGCAAAATTTAGCATTATTTATTTTGTTGGAAATATGTTAGATTATTTATTTTAAGACTAAATAAGATTTTCTGAAAAATGCTGCATGCTGTGTTATTAACTATGTTCTTAAAGATGATATAAATATAACAATAATTAATGATTAGAATTGTATAATTATGTTTAGCTAACAGCAGCGTAGCTCTTCAAGTTGATTTTTCTGTATAGAAAAATATTAACACATGTTTTATTAGAAACAATTGTACTTTAGAGCTTAATTACTTTCAGATAATATTTTCCAACTATCCTTAGTTTTGCTAAAATCTTTAAATGTGATTAATGTCATATAAACTAGTCATAGATACATATAAAATTAAGTATGCGTAATCCATAAATAATGCTCGTGAACTTGCCTCTTCTGTATTAAGCTCTTACTACAAAACCAAATCCTATTCTAGTCCATTTTATATTTAACTATGAATTTTATACAACTGTAGATTTAATGAATATTAATATTGAAGTACTCATTTATTGTTTGTTAAATTTTAATATTTATTATGCAAAGGACTTATGTGCTTTATACAATTGGCCTTAGAAACAAAAGTACCTTGTTAGTAATACTTTAAAAAACAAAACTAATTTTTTAGTTTAAAAGAAGCTCAAATAATTTTCACATTGTTAAGTGCTGTGCTTAAAAATTATAATTTCATAATTATAAAATTTTAGTTCATATTTAAAAATTTATTTAAATTCATAAAAGACAAACAATATTTCAGTTTAAATAAATGAACAATATTTGCCATATACTCGTAGCTGTATTTATGCACAAGAAAATTGTGTTTAGTTATAAAAATATTCAAAATATAATTGATTTATATATAATTGATACAAAAATGTAATAGTCAATTTTTGTTGCTTACATATGTAAATTACAGTCACATAGTAAATAGGTTTATATACCATTTCGTATTATAAATATATTTGCTGAAGTATTTCAGTTGTGCATACTAAGATTTTGAAAATAACATTAAATAATATTTTATAATAAAATAAATAAATAAATTAATTAAAATAAAATAAATTAAAGTGATAAATAAATAAGTTTAATATGAAGTTAATGATATTTAGAAATAAATAATCTAATAAATAAGCTAATAATAAAATTAAAAATAATTATATTGCATACAATTTCATTAGATGAAGTTACTATATTGTTATACTGTGAAATAAATGTGAATTATTATATATATGAATGAAATCCCACCAAGAATTGTTATTGTTACTGTTATTATTATGCACAATTCTGATATTTTTTAATCTATTGATTTGTTTTGAATTTTAATTTTGTTATTTATACAGTTTGTGTTTAAGAAATAAATAAATTATTAAATATTTTAAAACATAATTTTTTTCTTAATTTTTTTACAATATATTGAAATATTTTTGTTTGGTCCACAGTATTAAATTTTAAATAGTTCAGTAAAAATATATATATATATATTTTATTTAACAATATAATAGTAATATATAGAATTTATTCAAATTAAAAATAATATATTATAAAAATTTTTTTTTTATAAGTAAAATATTATATTTAATTTGTTATTAATAAACAAGCAACAATATAAGTTTTCGCTTTATGATGGCGAATATGTATAAATGAATATTCTCAATAATAACATTTAAATTATAGAAAACATATAACAAAATATTTATAAACGATGCTTGTATTGTTTATTTTTTATATATTATAAAAATAAATTCTATTTATTTTCTGTTTTATAAAGCCAGCTTATTTTTTACATATTAAATGAGATTGATTAATTTAAAAATTTATTTTAAGTCGATGTTGTGTTGTATGGCAATTTTTTCTACTTTTGTTTTTATATTTAGGGGTAACATATATATAAATAATTTCATATATATATATAACATTTTTGGTATATTTTTAAAAATAATTTTATGATATTCATTCAGTAGTTTAATAGCTTTAATCTTCCATGTTTCGAAAAGCTTGTATCATATCTTCATAAAGCTGATCGTATTCGGCTTTAATTCGTTCCTCTCCTTCTCTGACAGGATCTTTGAATTTCATAGCTGAGAGTTGGTATAAAATATTGCCCATAGCTTCACGAATCATATTCCATGTTACCTTGTTGTCCGATTGTGCCGTAGTTTCAACAGAATTGCGTGCCATATCGTAAAAAGCAATCATATTTCTCAACATGCCAACGGTCTTATAAAATGGACAGAAGCGATCATAAGCCGAATATGAGTTCTGTTGCAGAAAATCGTCTTTTATCAATTTCGCTACTTCAAGCGTTATTTTGTCAGTTTCAGCCAGTGAAGCTTTTCCTACTAATTGCACGATTTCAGACAAGTCCTCTTCTTCTTGTAAGATTTCTTTAACTTTAGTACGTAGTGGCACAAATTCGATATAGTTAGTATCATAAAATTCATCCAAAGCTCTGGTATATTTAGAATATGATATCAACCAATTAATAGAAGGGAAGTGTTTACGTTGTGCTAGTTTTTTATCCAAACCCCAAAACACTTGCACAATTCCTAAAGTGGCTGAGGTGACAGGATCTGAAAAATCACCGCCAGGTGGTGATACAGCACCCACAATGGAAACTGAACCTTCACGTTCCGGATTTCCCAAACATTTGACACGTCCAGCACGTTCGTAAAATGAAGCTAAACGTGCACCCAAATAGGCTGGGTAGCCAGAATCAGCTGGCATTTCAGCTAAACGACCTGAAATTTCTCGCAACGCTTCAGCCCAACGTGATGTTGAATCAGCCATCATAGCAACATGGTAACCCATGTCACGAAAGTATTCAGACAGCGTTATACCAGTGTAAATTGATGCTTCACGTGCTGCTACTGGCATATTTGAAGTATTGGCTACTAATGCTGTGCGCTTCATAATAGATTCAGTGACTCCATCAATTTCAACAGTTAATTCAGGAAAATCACGCAATACTTCAGACATTTCGTTGCCACGCTCTCCGCATCCAACATAAATGATAACATCAGAGTTAGAATATTTTGACAAAGCTTGAGATATTACCGTTTTACCGCAACCAAAGGCGCCTGGTATAGCTGTTGTACCACCCTGCACACTAGGAAATAATGAATCCAATACACGTTGACCAGTTAGAAGTGGATGATTTGCTGGTAATTTTTCGTTAACAGGGCGCGGGTGACGTACAGGCCAAATTTGTAACATGCTATGTTTTGTAATTTCACCATCAAATTCAGTCTCCAAAACAATATCCTCAACTGTATAATTGCCTGGTGGTGCTATGTACCGAACAGTACCTTTACCGCGTGGACTTACAATAAGTTTATGCTTTACTAGCGTATTCTCTGGTACCCAACCATATAAATCACCACCAGTTATGTGTGAACCAACTTTTATTTTTTGTGGATGGAACTCCCATTCGTGGGTACGTGAGAGCGCAGGCACATTCACCCCTTTTGGTATATAAATCGAATTGCTTAACTCGTTTATGTCCTTCAATGGTCGTTGTATTCCATCAAAAATACTACTCATTATACCAGGGCCTAGTTCAACAGACAAGGGTTTACCTGTACGTAAGACTGGATCACCAACTGTTACACCAGATGTTTCCTCATACACTTGAATGGTGGCCATATTGCCTTCCAAACGTATAATTTCGCCAACAAGCTCGTAAAAACCAACGCGTACAAGTTCGTACATAGCTGAACCAGACATATTTTCGGCTGTTACGACTGGTCCGGACACAGCATAGACACGCCCGTACAAAGATTCGCGATCTTCGTCACATTTTAAATTCGGCATTGTTTATTTTTCTTTGGCACTCACGTTATCAAATTAATAAGTTTATATTTTGATTTCAATTTTTTTTATTTGATGTGATATATCAAACCAACTCACTCAATGAAAATTCATATCGTGATGAGCTAAATATTTTCTATTTTTGTTTACAAATGTGCAACTTTTGACAGTGTCAACTTGATAATAAGAAAATAGGGTTGCCAACATGCAAAATTATTACATGTAAATAGTATATACAGTATAGAATTGGTAGCACTTAATAAATTGGCACCAAATATTAATAGGCATTTTCGGTTGCTCGCTAGTGTGGCAAAAAATGCATGCTGTCCTATATTCGCTGAGCGAGACATTGGCAACACTGCTGCAATCTGTCAAGTGTTGTGTTTTGGCAAATTTTGCATATAATTTTTGACATATGATTGCAATATTCGTTGGAGTTTCCAATGAAGGTTCAGAATAATTCGCTTAATGCTTTGGTAACACTTTTTTCTTTAATGGCTGAAGTGTGTGGCCAGTATACAACTATTGTCGTAGATTGAGAAAAAAGTGTTGTTTGTTTAGGCCAACAACTTGCTGTTTTTTGCCATATTTGCAAGCCACCAAAAACGCCTAATGTTTTTTATAGTTATATTAATATCAAATATTTATTAACAATTTCGTTGTAATTTATATAAAGTTTATTTTAAAATGTCGTAGTTGGGTAGTTGCAGTGGCAGGCCATCAGATAACTTTCCATGTACCTCAATTAGAGATATTTTGCCGTTTTGCCACCACATTCCTCGCAAGAACTCCTACGAACTCCTACAGACTAAATCCATCTCTTCGAATTAAGATAATTTAATAGGTCTTTCGATTTTTTTTACCGATGAACAGTGTGATAAGCAGTTCTTAAAGAAATACCTTCCTAAAAACCTGTTTCTTCTGGACGGCAAACCCATTTTTAATACTCCAGTTTTTATATCTGCTTAGAAACAGTTTATTTACAATTTTGTGAGTCATAAATGCAGTCTTTCATTATTTTGCCAGAGTAGGAATATTACCCCAACATTATCAGCTGTTTTATGTGACTAACAGTTAAAGTGCTAAAGAGAATAAATCTAAATTAAATCCACATTTACCAATCGAAAACGCTATAAGTAATAAAATTGTTTGCGATACATAGTTGTCCATTAGTTTTATATGTCAAAAATAACACCTAACATCTAAGGCATTATATATTTAGTTTCTGAACATACTCTTATTGAGTGCTTGAACAACAGCATTTGTATTATTTCCATTATTGATTTTTATTGTATTAATAAGGCTCATTATTTGTTTGATGGAAATGTCAATGAACAAAATTAAATCATTAAAATCAGATCATTAGGACTACACAATGAACTCTGATTGATGCATTGATATCGGAGCAGAGAAATTTCATAAGTAACTGTTGAGAAACCGTAGCATCTGCGAAAGTACACCATATGGTTAGGCATTTGGTCTGGAAGTATGATATATATATATATATATATAAATATATAAACTATATGTGGATATAGCTCTGCCCATCATTATCGGTGAATACAGGATCCCCAACACCACCAAACTCAAAATTCTGAGTGTTGTTCTCAACAGCATGTTGACTTTTTCCGCACATGCCTTAACCCTATGCAGCCGATTGAAATCTCGCAATAACGTGTTAAAATCTCTCGCAAGTTGTTCTTGTGATAAAGACTAAAAAACCCTGCTAAGGACATACAAAGCAATAGGTCGTCCTATTGCAGCCTATGCTGCTCCAGTATGGACTCCGCAACTCTGCGACACGTAATGAACTAACATCCAAACATGACAAAATACAGCTCTACCAATTGCAACCGGCTGCCATCACTTGTCGTGTGTAGACCATTCTCATATGGAATCGAAATTAATTCTTGTAAAAGAACACAATCAACTGCTGTTTAAGCAATTCCTTCTTGCGTGTCACACAGATGGATATTCTAATGGCGCCATAGCTAGTAGAGCCCTCCCTCCAAGATGCATTCATCGATCCCTTGCTTGTCGTAATCATATCGACCCCTATTGCAATGGAGCTAACATCAGTGAGGTCGAATACAAACATGGACGTATATCACTCCATACATATGCAATATCCTCTTCGAGACCTAGGTTGACTTCCAACAAGTTTCTCAATAGATCTCCGCATATTAACTCACAGGAAGAACGCCGGCTCTCCATGCAGCAAGAACAGTCCTTGCTCAATTGAGATCAGGGTATAGCTATGTACTAACAGTACGCATAAATACGTATATTCGTAATGTGTGGCCAAACTGCAGCTCTGCCCCTTATGACGTTGCCCATCTGTTTTCTTGTTCCTCTATGCACGCAAATCTTAGTCTAAACGTCCTTTGAACTTATTCCCTTGAAGATTTCTACGTCGGAACCCGGGTTGATTTCAATTGTATTCTCCCCTTCTCCACTTTCCTTTTACCCTTATCCAAAATGTTACCAAACCACATCCCAACCCCTGTATTCGTCTTGTAATCTTTCCCGGCGTGTTACAAGAACAACGAAAAGAATCGTGTTGATGGGAACAGTGCTCTAATTTTCAATGCTTATTGTTGAGGTATTGCTAGATATCTTGTGACAAGTCAGCCGTAAATATTTTAAATGTATAAGGTACTGTGAGACGTCCAGTAGAAAACATTTGAATGATGTATTTCTCATTTAATGACTCACAAAAAAAAGTATTGACAATAAAACCCCTTTTTAGATAATAGATTAAAAATCATTTGGTTTTTCTTATCAAAATGTAAGGCTTTATTTATTCAAAATAACATTAAAATTGCTTAATTTTTTCAAAATAGGTTTCCAGTATCAAATAAAGTATCGTTATACTTCGAACACTCGGTCCACACAATTTATATACATAAATGTTGAATGGGATTTTGTGGGTGTTCCGTAAAACAGATATATTAACTATAATTTTTATAAGGACCAAAATAGAATTTTGAAAATATTTTAAAAATTAGTTGTAAATACATTTTGATTTTGTTTAGTGGACGTATATTTGCATTTGCAAGAATTGATCTCTGACTAATAGAGCTCGCTGTTGTTGCGGAGTCAATAAAATACATTTTCCACTTTTGTAAACATTCAATGTAGTTGTATTATGTGCAGCTTTGAAAATTCTGCCTGAGTAAACAAAATGGCATTTTGAACGTTCAACTGCAGGCTTCCAAATTGCCAAGGTTGCACCTAACGGCCGTGATTCCGGCTCTAAACCGCACATCCAGATTATTAGAAAATCTATATCTTCCGCTGGTGAAATTTGTTCGTCACATTCTATCATATCACTCAAACGAAGACGGGCTGTCATAATCAACAAAGGCAAAACGTCTTGAAATACAAGAGTGCCTAAGTTTCTAATTTTATTTTTTACCAGGTAAAGATAATGGCTTCTTGGTGCATCGCATAAGGCCTCATTTATATTAATAAAGAAATTCCTATAAGTCCTTGGTAGTAAACGGTCTGTATGCAAATAACTGTGATCATTATGCACATGTTTAGTAAAATCCGCACTAAAAACGTGCATTTTGCAGTGACCCTCCGAACAGGGAAAGGGGTGTAATGGCAGGATATCTTTCTTAGCATTAATTGTTTTGATACACTTACGTTGTGCGGCGAGTAATTCAAGTGAACTAATTGATTTTAATGGGTACTCCATGATATCAAATTGTGCAATTGGATTTGGATCTGTTAGTAATTTTCTTCCTACGACTTTAATCGATAATTTGCTTTGAATGTACTTGGCTCTGGCTACTTGTGAAGCCATTTTAGCCATTTCACTTTTTGTGTAAGTTTCACGCAAGGGACGTGGTGAATCGGAGACTTCATCATTAGCTTGTGCTTTTTGTTTGGCTAAAGTCCTGTACATTTTTCTACAGAGGTTGCGTGTTTTATCGATATTGATTTCTTTTTTATCTTTCGAAATTGTAGAATGGGCTTCCTTTGCGCGAGCTAGTTTTACACTTTTCGAGTGTTGTGGACCTTCATGCATAACGCTTATAAGTTTCTGCAAGCGTACATCTGAGTGCTGATCGGTTTTTTTCCTCATACCACCTGCACGAGAATTTTGACGACGTATGTGTGGTTCATGTTTATTCTTCTTGGAACCTTTGACATGACAGTTAGGTAATTTATTTTTTAATTGATAAAAAACTTCGTTGCACTCTGAATCAGAACTATCGAAAGAACTCTGCAAAAATACACAAGGTAATTGTAAGAAAATCGTTCCATATTTTAATAATACTTACCTCTTCGTTGCGAGCTGGTATTTCTTGTACATTTTTTAGTTTATTTTTTGAATGATTCTTGATTGGTTGTTCTTTAACTTTGTTCTCAGCTTTCATGGCTGGATCTGGACTTCGCTTACGCACACCTTTACAAACTGTATAAGTTTTTGCACTATGATTATTCTGCACTTTAGTTTTGTTTGAATCCTTATTTCTCATATCCATAACGTGATTCTGAACGCTACGGGATTTACCGGCGTTGTTAGTGAAATGCCTTGTATGCTCTTGCTGTGACCGAATGCCTGGTAACATAGGCATATGGGAAGTAGATTTCGAATGCATTGATTCTTGATTTGCATTATTAAGCGCAATAATTAGTTTCTTGTTTCTGGACTTCAAACGTTTATTTTCTAATACCAGTTCCTTAAAATCTGATGTGCATGGCTCTGCTATATATAAGTTTTAATTACTAAAATGACTACAGACTTTTTGTTTACACTCACCTTCGTGAACCTTGTTCATTTGATAAGATTCTTCTGCATTTAGGTGTGAACTCTTCTTTCTTTCAACTTGTTTAGCGTAGTTGCAAATGCTGTTGGAGCATTGTGTTCTCTTATTATTTTGAAATTTTTGATCTCTATGCTCTGACGCGACACTGGACGAGGAGGTATAATGACCAGATTGTACCGATTCTGCAGTTTCTTGATTCGTAGTGTTAAGTGCCTGCAATAGTTCCGTATTTGCGCCTTGCAAACGTTGATTTTCTACTAACAAAGCACTCAATTCTGAAGTGTACGGAATAGTTGGCACAGCTTGGTTTAAATTTAATGGATAGTATGGTGAAGGTGGAACTTGCAAATTTGGATGTTGAAAATTTGGCACAGGTGGAACCGTACTCTGCGGATTCCGCTGCTCAAAAGGGGTACCATAAGATGATACTCGTGGAGGTGGAACCGGTTCTGAACTCGCTTCCTCTACATCCGTTTCAAATTGTGCTCTACAGAGTCTTACGATTTCCGTAGCACAGCTCAGAATTTCATTTTTTATACTTTTAGGCACTGAATCAGCTATAGAACCACCTCCCACATTCCGGATAGCATTAGTTTGTACACTTCCACATTGCTTATATTGTTGACCTATGTTAGTTTTAGAAGTCGTTCTACTTTTTAGAGGAGGAGGATAGATACTGGTACCAATGTCATTAGAAGAAAATGATGTGTCATTTTGGTTTTGGTTTGACGTAGCAAACTTTGTTACCGGAAACATAGAGTTTAAAGATGTAAAACGTAAGTTACGAGTTCCACATACACCACAACTTCCATTCGCCTCCTTAGTGCATTTTTCGCAAACCAGATGTCCACTCGAGCATCTATAAAGACCTACTAATTTATCGTGCGTGGCAACCAGTCGGGTTCGACATTGAGCACAATACATTTTGTCATCGAATTCAATTTACAGTTTTCAATTGGTAATCTTATTAATTATTAAAAATTAGGAAATAAATTTTTAAAAATAAAAATTCAAAACAGAAAACTTTATTTTGAATGTTAAATAATAGAATCGGTATTATATGTAAATGACAGTTTCAATGCAAGTATACTTAGTCGTAACAAATTTTTAAATAAAAATATATATTTTTATTTGTTTATTGTATGAAATTAAGTTAATTTTACATACTTGATTTCATTAAGAAATTCTACACAAAATGCCAGAACATTAATAAAATAGATGGTAACGATCCATTCATTGACCACGTTTTTTGTTTTTTTCATTAGAGGTGGAACCTTCTAAAGATACTGTAGAAGCATGCCCGATTCATACTGTTCGCTACCACTCTTTCTCGGATTTACGCAGGTACGATGCTTTTGCATATGCCAAACTTGGGACACAGTACGCCTAAGGACTAAACCTTAACCCCTATAAATAACGCTGTCCTTTAAAAAATTGTCAAATTTTTGCGGAACTGCCAATAGGTATTTCTTCGTGGGAACCACGTTTGCAAAACGTAATATGCTCATATATATAATATTAAAAGATAAGGTCCAACATATGCGACATGAATCGCTAGAGTCGTATATATAACGTGACTCTGAAAATCATTGAGTTATATAGATAAGATATTACAGTATTACGGTGTCTACTTTAATGATTAGAAACGTGATTGCATTCAGAGCAAGTGTTTTTTAAGTACACGTCTCCATATATACGACTACACGTATACGTTGTCTTGGATTGGCTACATCTGTGACGATTATAGGCACTTGAAGACGATGACCGAGCACTATCGCCAAAAACAATTAGCGATGAAGAAAATATTGAGAGTGCAAAGAAAATTTTTCAAAATGCTCGTTGTGTTTTTGCGAAGAGGGGACTGAGATATGGAAAAATATAGTATATATTTAGTTCTGAAATTTTGATACAGAACTTAGGCAAGTTGAAGATCTGTGCTGACTATGTGCTAGATACTT